GGCTCATGCCTTTAATCCCAGCACTCGGGAGGCAGAGGCAGAGGCAGGTGGGTCTCTGTGAGCGTGAAGCCAGCCGGGTCTACAGAGTGAGTTTCAGGACAGGCTCCAAAGCTATACAGAGAAACCCTGTCTGGAAGAAAAAAATACTTTAAATTAAGTGTATATGTGTGTGTGCTTAGTACCTGGGAACACAAGTACAGATTTCTGTGGAGGTCAAAGGTGTCCTACATTTCTAGAGCTAGAGTTGTAGGGTTGTAGGCCATCCAATGTGGGTGTTTGGAACTGAACTTGGGTTCTTTGCAAGAGCAGCACACGCTCTTTAATTGTGAGATTTCTTTGCAGCCCCACCTACACATTCATAATGCTTTTCTCTGTGACAAAAATAAAGGCAACGATAGGTTTCATTTAGTTCATTCAAAGTAGTTTAAATCAGTATTTATCTGTGATGGCGAGTTATCAACCTGACACAAGCTAGCGTCACTAGAGAGGAGGGAGCCTCAATTAAGAAAAATGCCTCCATAAGATTAGTCTATAGGCAACCCTGCAGGGCACTTACTTATTTAGCCATCCATGTAGGAGGGCCCAGTCCATTGTGGGTGAGGCCATTCCTGGGCAGGTGATCCTGAGTTCTATAAGAAAGCAGGATGAGCAAGCCATTGGTAACAAGCCAGTAAGTAGCATTCCTTCCTGGCCTCTGCAACGGCTCCTGCCTCCAGGTTCCTGCCCTGGCTTCCTTCAATGATGGACTAAGTGTGGAAGTATAAGCCAAACAAACCCTAGTGTTTCAGCACAGCAATGGAAACCCTAACTAAAACATCATCCAAGGGAAGTCTATGGAGTTTGGAATGTTAGAAAGCATGAGCAGCAAGCAGTGTATGCACTGAGTCATTTCCCCAGCACTCTCTAGGTTTTAATCTATTCCTTTATTTAAACCTCTGATCTCTAAGCATTCATTTCATGATCTCACACTTCCTTGCTTTCCTTTGCTTCCCCAGGCCCCTATCACACTCTCATTTGGTAGCATTGGGGTGGTTCTTTCTTCTGGTACTGGGACCAAAGCTAAGGTTCCACACATACTTAGCCTGTGTTCTACCATGTGGAACCACCGGCTACTACTGGGAAAATATTTTGAAAGCCTAAGGCCTGTGTCCTACCCACAACGATTCTGATGTAATTGGTTTGGAATACAGCCTGGCTGATTGTGTCTGAGATTCCAGTGTGCAGTCAAAGTAGAAAATTGCTTTATTCCCTTCCTTTGGAAGACAGAGCTGACTTACAGAGAGCCCTGCTATGCATGTGTGTAGAACCAAACAATGGGAAGCCTCCTCAGTTTCCAATGCTAGGATAAAATAACTTGAGAAGTGCGTCATTTTGTGTGTAAAATATCATCCAAGAGTATTTTTGTATCTATGTGAAATCAGAACCATGTCCTTGTTTGCCATTTTGTTAAAGAGAGTAATTTTACCTTTTATGACATTTCATTCTTCCTTTTGAACTTAATGAAAGTAATTTAATCTTGAATGAAGACGAAGTGCCATTTTTTCAACGACTGATATCCGATTGATTGGCCTTCATGTGTCACAGTACTAACCTGCTACTGTGTAGGTGAGGGAAACCAGTATATTATCCAATTATTTCTCTGAATCCCCAAAATTTTGACTGAGCACTATTTTTTTTTGAGACAGGGTTTCTCTGTGTAACAGCACTGGCTGTCCTGGAACTCATTTGGTAGACCAGGCTGGCCTCGAACTAACAGAGATCAGCTGCCTCTCAAGTGCTGGGATTAAAGGCATGCGCCACCATTGCTTGGTTTGGCTGAACACTCTTTTTTTTAATCTACTTTTTAAAAATTTAATAATTTATGATCATTTTACATATCAATACCCCGTTCCCTCTCCCTCCCATTCTTCCATTCCCCCTACCAGCCCTCCCAACCCACTCCCCAAGGTCCGTGAGGCCTTCCATGGGGGATGGCTGAGCATTCATGACCCATGCCATTCTCCAGGCATTCAGGAATTACCAAGTCAACTGATTGATGGAGAGTAGAAGAACAAGGTTGTCTATTGCAGTGTGGCAGATTATCTCCAAACCAGGAAGTACTTTATGATATCTCATGATTTTGAGGGGCAAGCTGAGCTTGCTTTGCTGAATCCACAGTCTAAGTGACATCACGCAAGTCTTCTTAGGGCCTTCCTACAGAGTCTGGGCTGCTCTGGAGAATTGAATACAAGTTCTCCCATGTCTGGATAGTGTTGGTGGAGACATGGAAGGCAAGACCCTGTTAAGACTGCCCACCAGACAAGGCACTGACATGTGGCCTCTCCAGCATGCTGGTCTAGGGTATTAAGATTTCTTTTTAAAAATATGTGGTATAACATGCTGATTCCTTCTTGTATTTCTTTTATTGTGTGACAAAGCATACTTTACATACACTTTGCCATTTTAGCCACTTTTAGGTTTCAGTTCAGTGGCATTAATTACACTGACAGTTATTCAAACATCTATTTAAAAGCTTGTTCATTATCCATACAGAAATTCTGTGACCTATCTTAGTTACTTTTCTATTGCTGTGAAGAGTGTCATGACCAAAGCAGTTTGTAGAAGAAATTATGAAATTGGGGGCTTCCTGTCAGTTTCAGTAGGTGAGTCTATCACCCTCTGACAGTACATATGTGTGCTACAAGGATTCTGGAACCTGAGGAAGTCAGAAGAGGCAACAGAGCACAAGGAATTGGAGTTATACCTGGTTGTGAGCTGACATGTGGGTGCTGGCAATTGGGTCATTGCCAGCAACAAGTCTCTTAACTGATGAGCCATCTCTCTATCTCCCAGACTAGGCTTTAAGTGTCTTCTTAAAAAGTGCAGACTGCCCAAGAGAACGAGAAAAGAGAAGCGTCATCAGTGACCAAGGGGTAACTGCAGAGTAGTCGACAGCAAGGGAGATGGGTGGTGGTGCTGATTTCTCATGGTTTTCTTATCCAAAATCATCCATTTAATATATTTAATGCCTCATAAAGACCCAAGAGTACTTATCAAAACAATAAACCATTAAAAACATCCTCTCCCCCGTCTTTCAAAGAACAAAACAAAACAAAACCCAAAATGTATTAAGTCTGTGATACAAGCCAGTAGGCAGCAAAATACTGTGCTAATTTTGGAAGCCTTCCATATGTCATCATAACAGAAACGAATGCGTGTTAATGGCTCTCTTGTCACAGCCTCTGTTGGCTGAACACTGGATGTCATAGTACCTTTCTGGCTTAATTGTGCATTTCCTTGATTCCTTTTGGTTCTGTCTGTCAAAATAAAAACATTTTTATGCTTGTGCATACAAATATAAAAATAGTTAATGATGGAAAAATTTCATAGGCAGGAAATTTTTTGTTTTTAAGGTTTGCAATTCTAGGAATCACACCAGGGCCTTGTATACACTAGGCAAATTTTCTGCCATTGAGCTACACCAGTAGATCTGAAATACTTTAAAAAAACCCAAACAAAGTACACATATATGCTCTTAAAATGATCAGTGGGAGCCTTTACTGTTTTGGGCAATAATTTTAGTTTGCAAATTAGAGTCATAGTAAAAAGGTTTTAATATGGGCATTCAAGCCATGCAATGTGTCATTTATTGAAATGGATGTAAAAATAGAGGGAATTAACTTGGAAGAAGTTAGTAAAGTGGCACTGAGAACAATAAAGTGTATCATTTGCTCGCCACACAGCAAACTAGGAAAGCAGTGCTTATTTGATAGCTCAGCAAAACAGCCTGCATTGACTCCTGCGCAGCTTTCCTTGGGTAAAACACCTAAGTAACTGCACTTTAATAACCTGAAATTGTTTAAGGTATCATGTTTATGGAATCATAATCTTTTGAGAAGATGTCTAAATGTTTAATTATATGCAAAGTTTTTATTAGGAAAACCTGAAAAAAACTAACAAAATTGCTCGTCCTTTAAGTCAGTGTTAGTATTGGTACACTTGACAATGTGGACAAAGCAAACATTTGTCCTTCTAAACCCTGATAGACAAAGACTAGCTTCCTTCATGTGTGGTCTTGCTTCTATGTGCAACACAATGAAAAGTATTTAAGAATTTGGGGACAACGTATTATTAATTTAATATTTGGAGTGACAAAAATTTCTACATATATGTAACTTTTAGCTTCATACTTGTCAAAATAATAGAACATGGACAAGATGACTTTAATCTTAAGAATAAATCAAATTTAACTGTCCTGCTCTATGATTCAGAAGTTTTCCCTCTCCCTCCCTTCTTCCTCATTTTCCTTCCCTTTTGTTAAAGAATAATAACAATAACAATAATAATTGTTATTATTCCTTCTTTCCTTTGGAGACAGTGTCTCACTCTGTACTCTGTAACCCAAGGCTGACCTGTAATTTTCCACAATCCTTCTCTTGCCTCAGCCTCCCAAGTTCTGGGATTAAAGGCCTGAGCCCCCAGAGGCCTATAATCTGAGGGGTCCTCCTTAGGAACATAAATTATCATTGTTTATGGTTATAAAGAATTCTGGTTATTGTCAAACTCCATTGGGGGGAAACCCACGAAGTCTCAACCGTACACAAAGAACTGAAGGCAACCGGAAAGCGGAGAGCAGGAGACGTGGTCTTCTCCAGGGAAGGGCTCACCAGCTGGCTGTGCAGTGCCAGATGGTCAGCCCTGAAAACACACACATAAGTAACGTTACATAGACTGAGCAGGTTATAGCTGGAATATATGTGTACATGCGTACATGCGTATAATAATTAATCAAAAAGATGCAGGGAATTTGGAGGAGAGCAGGGGTGGGTATATGGAAGGGCTTGGGACTAGGAGAGGGAATGGAGAAAGTATAATTACATTAGGATCTCAAAAATAAAAAGAATTCTGGTTATTTGGTTCTCGTTAGGATGAAGCTTATGGCATTTGCCTCAGTTCTGCTTTGGATTTCATATATTTACGGTAATTTTGGTGAAATTATTTAAACCCGTCTTTTTTACTTGTTAAATATGGAATGGTTCACAAATTTGCATGTCGTTTTTGCACAGGGGCCATGTTAATCTTCTCTGTATCATTCCAGTCTCAGCATATGTGCAGCTGAAGCGAGTCCTAGACCTCCTCTTAGTGGTCTGGCTTGGTTGCTCTCAATCTCAAATTAAAAATTTCAACATCTGTTTCATTAGTCTCTCTGTCCATTTCACCCACATGCCCAACCTGATCTCTCACGTTCCCTTACCTCCACCCCTGCCCTCATTTTACCCAGGAGATCTCTTTACTTCCCCTTACCAGGAATATCCACATGTCTCTCTTTGGGCCCTCCTTGTTACCTAGCTTCTCTGGGGCTGTGAATTGTAACCTGGTTATTAGCAATACCCACTTGAATGAGTACATACCAAGTTTGTCTTTTTGGGTCTGGGTTACCTCACAGTTAGGGAGAAACCTGGGGCCAGGGAAACTCCCAGGAATCCACAAGGATGACCTCAGCTAGTACTCTTAGCAATAGTTGAGAGAGTGCCTGAACTAGCTTTCTCTTGTAACCAGATTGGTGACTCCCCTAATTGCCATCATAGAGCCTTCGTCCAGTAACTGATGGAAGCAGATGCAGAGATCCATAGCCAAGCACTGGGAGGAGCTCCGGGAGTCCTATTGAAGAGAGAGAGGAAGAATTCTATGATCCAGGGTGGTCAAGTCTATGACAGGAGAGCCCACAGAGACAGCTGACCTGAGCTCGTGGGAGCTCACAACTCTGGATGGACAGTTAGGGAGCCTGCATGGGATTGACCTGTTGTAGTTTTGTCTGTGGGGCTCCTAGCAGTGGGATCAGGACTTGTCCCTGTCACTTGAGCTAGATTTTGGGAACCCATTCCCCATGCTGGGTTGCCTTGCCCAACCTTGATGCAGGGGAGTGGGGTGAGCTTGGTACTGCCTCAACTTGATGTGCAATGCTTTGATGATTCCCATGAGAGACCTGCCCCTTTCTGCATGGAGACGGAGGAGGAGTGGATGGGGGGTGTAGAAGTGAGGTGGAGGGAGGGAATGGGAGGAGAGGAGGGAGAGGAAACTGTTTGGTATATAAAAAATGAAAAAACTTAATAAAAATAAATTAAAAAATTCAATCTCTGGGCATGGGGGTGCTCACCTTAAGTCCCAGTACTATGGAGGCAAGGCAGGCAAATCTCTTTGAGCTTGAGGTCAACCTGGTCTACATAGTAAGTTCCAGGTTAGTCAAGGATACATAGCTGCAATAAAATTTCCCCTATTTATTTTACATCTGATTTAGTATGCTGTATTATTACCTAACATTATAACATTAAATACTTTAGTGCTATATGTATTAACTCAAGTCAAGTAAAACTTCTCTGTCTAATGTGCATATGATATCTGATATACATATGTATGTTTGTTTTTTTTCTGTTTGTCTATCTGGCTTGATGTCAGATAAATTAAGGTAAAATTACATGAGGGGGAAATATTCTTTTGAACTCAATTTTTAAAAATACATATATGTATTACAGTTTCAAAAAGTAAGGACAAATAATTAGGGTTTTACCAGACTAGAATGGAGACAGTAGCATTGTGTTAATTTTACTTCAGTCAAGATGGTTTATTAGAAAACTGTCTTGCAGATCCCAAATTATAATTTAGGCAAGTGTCATTGCTTTATTCTGACAGTACTGTTTGACCTTCAGTTATTATTTGTGCTTTAAAAAAGTTAATGTAAGAAGCATCCATCTTAAAAGAATGTTATGACCAAGATTAGAGAATCCTAAATAACTCCCTTAATGTTTGAAAAAGGAAGCAACATAAGAAAAAATATTATACTGTATTTAAAAAACATAGTAAGAGGTCAGTTTCTCTGTGGCCCTTTGTAAGGAACGGACAGTTCCTCAACATAATATGTAGAAATCAGGTGTGTGGCTGCAGGGGCATTTACCTTTCCAGCTGTCTTAATCTACTTATATACATTCATGCATATTTCAGAATAGAAAGACACAGGACATATATATTTTGTTGACTTTAATGATGGAGATGTCCTTCTGTATGCTGTGAATATATGTTTCTTCTATTGGTTGATGAATACTGTTTCGGCCTATGGATAGGCAGGATGTAGCCAGGCAGGAAGTATAGGCAGGTCTACCAGACTAGGAGAAGGTGGGGAAGAGGAAGGCGGGGAGTGAGTTGCCAGAGAGATGCCATGTAGCTGCCAAGGAAGCAATAGACCTGGGCATCACCGGTAAGCCAACACCATGCAGAGAAACCCAGATTATTAGAAAAGTGTTAATAATTGAGATAGAGCTGGCCAATAAGAAGCCTGAGCCATCAACAAAACAGTTTATAATTAATATAAGCCTCTGTGTGTTTATTTGGACTAAATGAATATGGTACAGAAACTTCTGTCTACACTTTAACTTAAAATGCCCTGAAACAAAATGTAGAACCAATAATCTGGTGACTCATTGGAATTCTGAGAACAAAAGATTTTGTCTTAGTTTTTCTTTTCTTTTCTTTTGTTTTTAAATTTGGGATTGAACCCCAGGCCTTGCATCTGACAGGTATGCTCTACCACTGAGCTACAGCCCCTGAGAACCAAAGATTTAAGAGTCTGATTTTCATATTAGAAGTTGAGATTTGGAAACTGGTGACAGCTCACCAATTGTTTGAATTGGTTGCCAGGCATCCCAAGCTTTGGCAAATTTTGCATTTCTCATTTAATTCTATGTCTTAATTTACTAGTGACTTTTAATAAAAAAATATTACAGACACTAATGACACAAACTTGCAAGATGACATCTTCTGAGAGTCTCACTTGTTTCTGAATGGGCAGTTGACTATGAATCTTCACACTCCCACAATTTTATTGAGTGCTTTGAGGGTACAAACATTTTACATGAGTTATCTTCACTCAATCCACATGAAGTCTCTGTAACATAAACATTATTATTTCTACATTGTACCAACAAGGAAACAAACTTCTCAAGGAGCTGTTCATAAACTCAGCAATGGGATTAAGTGAGATCTGGCTGGCTCTAAACTAGCCCTCTTTCTAGTATACCACTGTCTAGACAGTAAACTCTGATAAATACAATTTATAAAAAATTAGAGGAAAGGATTTTGAGTGTTTTTACCATAAGAAACGATTGCTTCGGAGATGGAGAGATAACTTAGAGGTTAAGAGCAATGACTGCTCTTCCAGAGGACTGGGTTCAATTCCCAGCACCAACACGGCAGCTCATAACTGTTTGTAGCTCCATTTTCAGGGGATCTAACACCTTCACACAGACATACATGCAGGCAAAACATTAATGCACATGAAATAAAAATAAAGTTATTTAAAAAAGAAATGATTGTTTGAGGATACAGATATATTCCCTTGGATTTCTCAATTACACACCATAGACAAGTATTGACTCATCATATGATATTCCATAGATGTTTATAGTTTATATGATTTTTATGTATTGATTAAAAATAAATAAAATAAAATAAATGAAATTTTTTTATAGTTGAAGTTCTCAGGCTGTGTGGTAGTTCTTAGGTATAGAATTTTTAAGTGGAACTAGGAAGAACACAGACACCTTATTGCCATGTCTTGTGACCCAGAGCATTGCTCTGGCTTCCTGGGAAGCTGTTACAGTATGGGTTTGTGGGTGTGTTATGTAGACTATGAGTTGTTTATTGGCAGCTCAAGAACAATGGTTTTACTGTCTTTATGTGTTTACTTATTTGTGATTATTTGAAAATGATTTTAGACTAGTATTATTTGAATCTAGAAAAATCTGTACTAAACCCTTCTACATGGGAAAAACCTGAGGAGTAGGAAGAGCAAGTGAGGCTGCTGAGCTGTGGAAACAGGGAGACTCTGCTTCAAACCACACTGCTTACCCTTGGTAATATTTATATGTATGGTGCTTGCAAAGCAGCGACGTAAGGTTCTGTCTGATAGTAGTTAATAGTGATTTAAAACTATCTAAGTAGGAAGGAATGTAGTATTATTTTTGCATAAAAGCCATTCAAAACAGAATGGCATGTGGCAGACAGATAACAAGCGTTAACAAGCGGAGGAATTTGTCTCAAACAAGGTGTAATTATTGCTCAATACTTCTGAAGGCATAGAGATTGTCTAACCCAAACTTAGTGATTCTTATGGGGGAGGAGGTGTAGAAACAAGGAGTTTCTGAGTACAGTGGTATCTGACCCTCCCCTTGAGGAAAGACACTGAGATGACCTCATTTCTAGAATCTCATTTGCTTGCTGGAAATGTAGACATAAGCCTGTAAGATATCGCAGACAAGTTTCTTCTCGCTTTCTTTCTTTTTTCTAGAAAAAGGTTGTCCTATGATAGCACAGTATCTCACTATGGGTGCATATAATATGAAAATGATTTTAAATAAAAATTTAAACTTGCTGGGCGTTGGTGGCACACACTTTTAATTCCAGCACTTGGGAGGCAGAGGTAGGTGGATCTCTGTGAGTTCCAGACCAGCCTGGTCTACAGAGCGAGTGCCGGGATAGGTTCCAAAGCTACACAGAGAAATCATTCCTAAAAAAACAAAACAAAACAAAACAAAAAAGCCCAGGATGTTCTTGAGTCTTCTAACAGTCCTCTGTCCCACACCTGACCAAAGAACTTGCTCCATTTCCTGAAGCTGGGACAGCAATTAGGCCCATAAAAATGAAGTTCATTAATGAAAACTAATTGAAAATTAATTCACCATGACTCCAGGGAAGAGCTTGCATTTAAAACATTGTGTTGTTAGCAAGTGAGGCTGTAATCATCAGAGCATGGCAAAATACTTCAGAATGACACACAGGTTAATGAGGTGGCGAAGCGTCAGGAAAACAAAGGCTTGTAACATTAAAACAGCCACTGTGCTTAAGAGCTGCCCACCCTCCCTTTCTGCTTCATGCCCTTTTTATTTTATTCTCACCTGACAGAGCAGATGCCGTACCATTATCCCTTCACCCAGTGATCCTTCCCACAGAAACACTTCTACAGTAATCCTTCCATTTTTGAGTACTAAGTATGATTTCTGCAAGTGCCAATCTAGCCACTTTACAAACCCTTAAGAATCTTAGTTTATGTATTTTAAGTGGGTTCTTACAGA